CACGAGCCCTATTGGTCCCGCTGGCTGCTGCTTATGACGTCTGATTCTGGGGACCAGCCCTAAAGTTGACCTTGGTGGGACCCTTTATGCCTGGCTGCACAGCAAAGGCTACTGAACAGTTGGCTCCAGTTTTGTTTTTGTTTTTGAGAGGTGGTTTTAGTCTCTGCTTTTATATTGTTTTCTTTTTTTGGACTCTTTTCCTGGGGGTCGGAGCTTTCTCCCCGTACCTTACCCAAGAAGAGACAGCAAGTGTGTTCCTATAGCCAAGCCACAAGTATACCCCATAATATCCCATCATCTAGACAAGAGACAATACCAGCTGCTAGGTATTCCATGTGAAAAGGGAAGCCTATCTCCAGATCACATCCACCAGGAGACACTCAGTAAGCTTAACAACACCACAACATACCTTCATTTAAGCATTGAAAACCCACCTAACTACTGAAAATGTCCAAGGAAAAAAAACACAACAACAGTTCTCAGCACATGTCCAAAAGCAGAAATGAGTAACTGAGACAAATGAGCTGGAGGCAGACATAGACTTGTAGTAGAAGAGCAGCCTTTGGCTCTACCTGAGAAGGAAGTGTGGCAGCAGCAATGGGCTCCAGTGTTTCCATAATTGTGAAGATGGCATAGGACGGTTGTGCATAGGGTCACTATGAATTATATAACCCATATATATGCATAATTCAATTCAAAGTACTGAAAGACAAGAATATTAATATATTAAAATTAGAGCAAACCAAGAGAGCATGTAATCTGACCTCCTTGAATTTTAAGAATGGAAGCAAATTAAAATTGTCTAGAATTAGGAGATTAGGCAGTCTTACCTGTATTTTTTTTTTTCCCTTCAATTTAGCCAGCATTCTTTTTTTATAGCAAGGCACATTCTGCAAACAAGTCTCATGCCCTTAGGTACTCAGCTTTACTTAGTCCATAGGCCTAGAGCCTGCGGCTTCTGTGTCTCTCCATGCCACCACGTCTGCCATAGCCTTTTTCCAGCTCATGCGTGTCCACCCATGCTCTTACTTCTTGATGGTCCTGGGATCTTCCATCTCTGCTTCTGAGATGGCTCCATTGTAGTCTGGCTGGAGGGCAAAACCCTCTAATCCCAGCCTTAGTGTCCTGTCTACTTTATTTGCATGGTGCCACCCAATCACTTGGTGGGAATTAAGAGGACTTTAGATAGAAAAGCCATTAAATTCATCCTGAATAGTATTGCTCTTTGGAACCCTATGAGGCAGGTCTGCTGTGTCCTCTCTTGGTCCCTTTGAGTGAAAATCTACTTGACAGCAGTGATTTTGGGGTTTTGTTTTAATAGTCTAGCCAAAGTCTGTAGGTGGTACAAACAGTTTGTCCAACCTAAAGGTTGGAGGTTCAAACCCATCAGTGCTGCCGCAAAAGAAAAGGCCTGGCAGTTTGCTTCCTTTATGATAGCAAAGGAAACCTTGTGGAGTGGCTGTCCTCTCATAAATGGGCACCATGGTCAGATTTTGACTTAATTGCAGGTAACAGCAGCAGCCTAACCATGTTGATAACAGAAGGCCGCAGTGCTGCTATTTACCCTGGAAGTTCAGGCAGTAACTTTAGAAACAGCAGACATTTTTTTAAATTTTTTTAATGTTTTATTGTGAATTATGTGATAGTTTATATGGGAGAACATTAGTTTTACATTCATCCTATCGCATATTATTCCATTGCCATGGTTACAATCCCCTCCATGCATTATCAACCAAACAAAGGGTATACCCTACAAGCCTGCCCCTGGGTCGTCAGCACACAGCCCCTCGCCCTCTCTGTGTCTAAAGTCCCCAACACTTTCATCTTTCCACGTCATCATCTCTGCCTCCATTTCAGGCATCAGTGCTTCTCTGGGTAGGGTCCAGCTCTACGCTCTTCTCCCTTGATGGTCCCAGGGACTTCTGCTCCTAGACTGCAAAGTTAATCACTCCCCTCCTTGCTACAAAACGTCTACCTTTACATTTCCAACCCTCACAATCAGTGCTGATGATAATTATTCACTATTGTATCACAAGAGACCTATCCGCATCTTCTTTCATCAGCCTCACTTAGACAGATTGGATACTACTCAGTGGAGATTCTGCCTTCCTCTATGCCCTCTGGATCTAGCTTCCCTTTTGAAAGCTTGTAAGCCAGTCACTTCTTGCCTCTGTAGCCCCCCATTTTGGTTAGCCAATGTCCAAGTTGCCCATCCCTGTCTACTTTCTATATGGAGGGGGTGGGAATGATCCTTGCTGTAAAGATTTGTTCCCTCTTTTGAGCTACTGCATCCATAGGTGTAGTAGGTCAAGTTCATCAAATTGTATCGGATTACACTTTTTT